AAAAAATGCTAACACAAAGGATCGTAATTCATGCATGAAAGGTTTTATGTTGGTTTAGCTGTTAAAAAAATTCCAATAACAATGCATTCAAGTTTGAGGGGGTTTAATCAGACTCATCATGCACTGATTGTGATTCCTCGGACCACTTTCAAAAGGATGTCTGGTATGCTTTCTGCAGCCACATTTACTTGTTTCCATGCACATATTTTATAGCCCACCTACTTTACCGAACAGCCGTCATGTAGGCAGAAGGAATTCCACAAGGACAGTTTTATAGAAGGACATAAACAAAAGAATCTTGTTTATTCTGAGCACATCGATTGTGTCAATTTGTTAGTTTTTGCTTGGCAGCAACAACACAATGGTCGTGTGTTTACAGTGCCAAAGCTCGCTGTCTATTTTGTTGAGGTTTTAGATTTTTAATCTATTTCTGTGATCAGGCAGTTAGAGGATTGTAGTTTCAAATTGCAGTTAATTGTAACATTTGATATTGCAAATGTCTAATGTTTCTTAGCTTATTTTTTGATGTTTTTGAAATAGTAGATAAAACGTGGATGTGGTTGGTTGCTTGATTTCCTTTTACGATATTTGGGACAATTAGACGTTTGGTCTGTTTAATTAAAATCATAGTCATTGTAATCCTTAATTATAAATGTCAGATTCATATATATATCTTTTAAAATCACAGTGATTGTTTTCTTTGTAGCATTGCCCACTCAGTGAGCTTTGTTGTACTTCATCAATCATTGGCCTACTTTGTACAGTTTTTGATCCATGACAATTGACCCTAAATAAATTGCCCTGTTTTGAATATATATGGCATGATTTTGTGGCCCCACAGATGTTTACTTATTTAGTTGCCACTAAAACATTAGTAAGACTTTTGATAAGGTGATCACTATGACTTAGAAAAATAAAAAAAGGCGAATACATCTAAAATCTGCATTTTGACATGTCTTGTTGCTCTCTGATTAAAGTTTGCATCATCTTTATTCCAACGTTGACTCACATAATCTTTTTCTCACTTTTTCGTCAACTTTTCCACCCCCATTTTATAAACTGTGTATTACCTTAAACCAATTTTATCTCACTTGCTTTCTTTCCCGCCTTATCTCGACAAAATTAATTTCCATCTCACAAGCCCCCGGGTTGAGGATATTAATGTTAGCAGAACTTCCTGCATTGGAGCAAGAGCAAACAAGGACACAGTATCTAGGAAAATGCGAGAATTATGCGGCTTGTGAGGGGAGCAGATAAGTTGTGCTTCAAACATTTTTTAAGGCAAATCTTGAAGAATTTTCACTTTGACGAAGTTTAGGCAGATATCAGTTCTCTCTGTTTGATTCTTACTTTGTTTCAACATTAATTGTAATATCACTAACATTGTCTGCAGCAAAAAGTAAAATAGAGTCAGCATTACACACCCGACAAACATTTAACTGGAGAAATTGTGTTGTAATCCACTCACTGTTGTAATCCACTGTTATCTCTTGAAGTCTCCCGGTGATAAAAATGAGACTTTGAGTGAACAGACGGCATACCTCTTAGATTTTTATCGTCTTCTGACTTTCTTTTCAAGCACTTCACTGACATGCTGGGTCATCTTCCTTCAGTGACAACTTCCACTCTGAGTAGTGTTGTTGTCAGGGCAATCTGTTTGTATTTTTAGGTCTTTCCTGACTCACTGGCAATCAAAACCAGTCACAATTTCTTGTTTTCTCAGGTCATAACAAATCAAAGTGTTTCCATAATGTCCCCTGACAGCCTGGCTTTTAATGGAGAGCAAGATGAAAACAGTTTTAAACACAAGATTGAAAAGATTGAAGTTTCTTTCAACCATTTTTTTAACCAAAGAGTCAATGTTTCAATGTTACTGCAGTTGCTAATCAAACAATACCCCGTTTTTCTTCCCCCTCCTTTACCCTCATTGTCCCAGTGTGATAAACAACTAATTGTATGTGCCACAAACACGAACTGAGGCTGGTTTCACTTGTGGCAGAAGTTGATGTGATAGAGAGGGGCCCTTTGATAAAGGACACTCCATTAGCGGTTTGCCTCCCAGCTTTATGTCATCACCCTCCCTGCCACTCTCAGCAGTTGTGCTCGGGTCAAAGAGCCTGAAGCTCAGGCTTATACTCAGGATTTCCAAATCTGCAGTGGCTGCAAAAATATTTTGCAGAAATATTATGTGTTCGGGTTCATTCTGGAGGTTGTTGTTTTACTGAAAGCTGCAGAGGGAGATGTTTTGGTGATTCTTCTACTTGTAATTTGTCTGCGTAATAGTTGCAAGATGTACCAATGATTTACTGCATCTTTCAGCTGTTATTTCAATCAGTATATAAATAAAAATAAATTGAGTTTGCCTTCATCTTTTTCTCTTAACTGAGTTTGAGCTTCATACATATACCATTCTTTGGGTATTATTTGTGCCATTTTATTATAAACCTGCTTAGATTGAAAAATGCAAAGCAAACTGTTCTGCAGTTATAGGTTTAATGGTTTCATCTGCAATCTCAAACTTTAAGCAAGAGGCAGCAGATGAGGCATGGAAAAATGAAGCCACAACACAACCTTTAATTAAGTGCACCAATAAAAACACACAACTGAGACTGATGCATGGGGTAAACGTTTATTAGACTACCCATTCACTGTGTTCCTATTTTCCAATTCTGTTCTATCCTAAAGAACACATAGCACATATTTTTCTGGGTTTTTCTTCCCCAACTCATTGCCCATAATTCTTAGGAAAGAAAACAGAATCCATGAAACTATGGATTCTGATTGCTGGAAAGTACTAATTCCAGCCCTTAGACAGAACTTAGTCAGAAATGCAGATAATTCTAATCTTCCTGTAGACAAGTTAAAATATTAAATATGAGTGTTTCTTTAAGATACCACCAGCTGGTAGGTGTTGTCTGTTACAGTGCTTCTCTACAGAACAAGGCGCAGACTTTTGAAAATGTCTTCAAAGTGTGTTTGATTTTAATCCTTAACTTTACTCATTAAAAGTATTAAATACCTCTAAATTGTCCATGGCAGTTTGTTCTGCAATTACTGTTAACTATGGCTTAAATATTTACTGTCATTCATTCAAATTAATTTAGAGAATTGAACTCCCCTTACTGGATAATGTTGTTATTTGTATCTCTGGCTCCAAGAATTTGGGTATTGTTATTTTCTAATAAAACTAAAAATACCCTGATGCAGGGAACTAAAATAAAAAAAATATTTTATCCTGAGATGCTTAGTAATCTCTACAGACCTACAAAAGAACGAATATATTTGCCATAATTAATTTGGAAATGTCCAGAAGAACGGTACAAAAGCTGCATCGTTATGAATTATAAATAAAGAAGATGGCTCTTTTTGATTCCAGAAAAACGTTCTGTACAAAATGATTCCAGCATCCGAAAAACAAGAACGTGTTGGTTGATTTGTGGATCTTAGAGCAGTTTTCACTTAAAGTTGAGGTTACGTTTCTGGCCTCTGTCTTTTCTCTTCACATCTCTGCCTAAAGTTTTACCCATGTACCTTTCTTGACAAGATGTGGCTGTGGAGAGTAAACTACCTTCACACTCTGAGTAAATATTGAATGTTGCACAGACACCCTGTGCTCAACTTCAGTTATTTAAAATTCCTAATTTCAGGTTTGTGAAGCATTTAAAAACTCATTGGCAATTAATTGAAATTGATTGATGTGATTGCTTCAAACCTGGAATTTTCTCTAAATATCTGTTTGATGTGCTGTGTACTCGAGCGTGGCATCTCTCTCTCTCTGTTTCTCTCTCTCTCTATTTTTATATTGCTTTGTCTTTAAATATTTGCTTATAATTCATTGCTAAATCTCTTATTGAAGTCCTGCTTGCACGATAAGATGCTTTGGAAAAAATAAACTCTTCCAAGAAAATCAGTTTGAGTCAGAAAAGCAATAATAATATCCATTCTGTCTGAGGTCAGCTTCCAGGCCAGTCCCTGACTGTTCAGGATTAGAAAGATACTGAACTAAGGGGATTAACAGAGGAGTAAATAAAGCTGTAGAAAGAAAACAAGAGAAGACAGCAAGGCCCTCCAAATGCTTCCAGATTACACTGGTCATAATAACTGCTTAAGCATGTATGGTGGGAGACATTCCTTCCGATTTCAGCTTTCAGGAACTAGTCAATTGGAAAACAAAGACAGAAGACTTTTTGACCTGCAGGCCATCTTCTTTACTATTGTCACTATTGATTTGCTGTGTGATGCAGAGGATTCCTTCTTCTGCTGGGTGCTCAAGATAAAGCCAGTTTCATCTGACCAGGGTCATGCTGTGAGAGATGAAATATGAGATTTGCTTGCAGGGGGCTTTGGAGCATTAGACCATGAAGGCACAACATGTGGTGAAGGTGTTGCTTTCCTATTCACACTGCGGTTTGTCTTTGTGAAAATGTGTCCGTAATAAGTAACAAGAAAGCTTGGAAGAAAGTTCCTTGCTGGCCATCGCTTTGGAATTGTTTTTGAATTTTTAATGTGCTTCTTGTTTGCAACCATTAGCGTGATGTTTTTTTTTTTTTTTTGCATTGTCAAGCAGATAAATGATTCCTGCTTGGTTGGTGTCGTCTTTCGCGAAGAAGTTGATGCGTTTGATCGCAAGGACAGCTTAGAAGTGTCTCTAGAATCCCAATATAGAAATAGGGAGGTATATAGGAGGTGCTTGGCTTCAAAATTTTACTTCTTGCCATAAAGAGTTGTTGTAGTACCACAGTCAGTAAATCACCCCAAAAAACTTTTGTATATGTATATATATGTATAAATATAAAATCATTTCTGACATAATTTGGCCACACCCACAAAAACTAAGAAAACAGATCTTTTTTTTGTTTTTTTTTGCATGTTAATTTTTCAATTTAAATTCTTTAAAAAAGTACTGTTACTACTTGGCAGAAATCCAGGAGCGATAGAGCGATTGTTTTCTCTCCTGGAGATGCTGTAATCTTTTTCTGTACTTGTGTGTTTTTCTGCAGGGTGTCTCCCATTCCTCCTTCCGTCTGCCTAAGAGCGACGTCCACCCCCAGCCCTGGCTGCAGGGCCAACACATTTACCCCCGCGGATACCCCAACCTCGCGGATACCCCAACCTCTTCTTTGTCCTGAAGCTTCACACCCAGCAACAACCTCACAGGGGGTCAACACCCCCCACACCTCCCACCCTCCGCCCTCCACTGCTCCCCTCCCAGGTACTCCAGGGACGAGACGACTCTGTGCTTTACAGACAGACCCCTCCGGACCGTCGAATGACGAGCGTGCTTCGGAGGGCGGGGCTTGCCTCAGTCTCTCGTGATTGGCTGCTGGATGGAATTGAGGTGAATGGAACACATGCCCAAGGAGCAGGACTCTAACCCATCAGAGGGAGAAGAGAAACAGTGAGTTCAAGTCTTTTTGGACTATTTTTTTCTTTTTATGTCACCAGTTTTTTGTTGTTGTTGTTGTTGTTGTTCTGTTTTTTTCCCTTTTAATAGGTACTTTTTACATTATTGGAATGTCAGCAGTAAAACACACTTTGTTCACCGGTCTGTTTACTCCATGTGAACGGTTTCAAGTGGACTTTGGCCTGTAGCTGCTTTTAGCCTTGATATGTTGACCCTTACATTCGATTCTTGAGAAGCAGAGCTGAGTGCAAACAAACACTGTCCTGTTTAAGCTACTGCACCTTAATGAAAAAACAATATTAGTGACACAGAGGCCAAGAGGAAGGCAACAGAGGCCCTTTAAAGGAAAAGCCTTGGGGCTGGGGTCCAATAGAAAGGGTTACCATTTATCATCAGTCTACTTTGATATTTAAAAAAACTGTGGAGGAAAATTCTGAACTTACTCAGCTGATTTGTGTGGGAATTTTAAAGTTGCTGCTCTGATCCTGATAGGAATTAATTAAATGGGGAAATTGAAGGTATGCATGTGTTAAGGTTTCCCATTGACTCAGTTGTTATCTTAATATTGCAGAACAGTATTTGCGGAGCTACAACACTTAGCTTAGAATGCAGGCATGGTGATCACCCAGTCTATTAAAACTTATTTTTGCAAAATAAGAGCTATAAGAACTTTTCCTTAGCTTTTGATTTACCCCCAGATGAATGTCACCAGACCTTTGACTTCCAAAGTCAAAGGACAGTAACTAAAATTAACAGCATCTTATTTTATACATGTGCGTTTGGAGGAACACTTGTAAAAATGCCATTTTATTGTATAAGTATTGGTCAACACCCTGCCACCTACTGGCCGGACAGTGCATGAAAACAAAAAATTTAATCTTGAAACAGAATAAAAAATCTTTCTCATGATGTCTTTACAGGTAAAAACTTACTAAATTTTTTGTCAATGCAGGGAAACTATTTTTATTTACTTCTTTTAACCAATAATCAAGGTTAGCTTCATAGCAGTTTCATCACATTCCATTGGGACTGCAGAATATATAGGAGTGTGTTGTTGGCCGCTGTATTCTTCATAAATGTGTATGAATTCACCCTTTGACTGTCAGCAGTCTATTCAATCTGATGCTGAAGACGTATGACAGTTCGCAGCAGACTACAGTGCAAAGCGAGTGCTGAGAGCATCACAGTAACATCTGAGAAAGAGTTGAGAAAAATGTAGATTACAATATTCAACCGTATCACACAATTCCCTAAAATCATGCAGCCCTACATTAAACAATAGCAGAGAATGGTAAAATATGTAGCCACTTAAATTTAGTAACAATATTTCTATATCGGTTTATAAATTTCTCTTAATACAGGATTGTTTTCTTGCATTGTAATAAAGTCAAAACGCTTAACATCATACATGTTGAAGAAAATCCTGAGTGAATCATAATTATCCATGAAATGGCTCATGACAATGATAAAAAAGAAATCGCTAATATTTTATTGCCATGTAAATGAACTGGCTGAGTGTCTGTGCGGTAATGCGGTATCAGGTTTCCTTCACTGCGTAAAGCTCGGATGCATTCCTCAGCCAACGCAGGCACCTGTTGGAGGAATACCAGCTCTCCCTCCTGAGTGACAGTTGTTGTGTTTTTGGAAGTAAATCCTTTGAACTTTTCATTTTCATTAGACATGTTCAAGGGTCTCAGCTCAATATTCTTTCCTTACACCTGCATCACATTCGAGCTGCAATTTGTTGCCTTGTTGAGATGATTATCAGTGTAATCACAACTCCAGTGATCTGTGCAGATCACTGGAGATCAGTGAACTCATCAGCTCACTGCAGATGAGTTTTGGGGTGGTCGGTGCTTTCTGTGGATATCAGGCCCGTGTTGTACGATGTCAACATGGTTATTCCAGTTAAAAATGGGAATGATTATCTGTCCGATTTTCACACAAACAGAAGACTTTTTGATGGACAATTACCTTTGATGCTGTGTTTGACACCAATTTGAAGCTTTGTGCTCTGATATATATGGATTGGGTGTTGCATCACGTTTCCAAACATATTACAGCAGCTGATGTAAGCCTGCATGGTCTTTGCTGCAACAACTTTATGGCCTAGCTCACAGCCTTAAAGAGTGTGGTTCATCTGTGAGCTATGAGCTATAATAGGCCTTTTTTATGCTTTCACATTTTGCACAGCGGAAGATTCCACTTTCTACTTGATCAACCGTGTGTGCATTTATTCATGGAGCGCAGCCTAGTTTCTAGCCTCAATGTGAGCCATAATTTGAAACAATAAAAACGATTAAAATGTTTTTCTCATACTCTTTCTTATCTTATCAGGATCCATTTGATTTCTGGTCATATGGAGCATAGAGTTCCTAAATCTCACCTATAGTGGGCTTTTAGTCAGCTGTGTTGTGGCAGCAAGTTGACAAGAGACCCAAGATACATTTATTTCATTTAAAAAGAGGCAAAGCTGCTATTTCTGAATACACACACAAATTCAGAGTGTGTTATTTTGACACTTTCTTACTTAGAAATCCCTCAATAAAATCATGTGTAATAAACTGCATTTAGAAGTCACATAATTACGAGACAGTGTGATTTAAGCTTAGTTGCAAAAGCATCAAAAGTAGTCACTCAGAAGGGCTGCACTTAAATTCACAACACACTTGCGAGGTTATGTCTTTAAAAAAAGTTATAAGTTTTCCTTAAGCTTATGATTTTATTTCACTTTGTGTTTATCTAGCAAATTCAAAAGAAATGCAGTTGAAATTGTGGTTGTAACTTCTCAAAATGTGAAAAACACAACAGGATATTAACATCTTTTCAAACCTATGTGAATATTTGGCCTACTTTTCCTTCTCTTGCTGATTTTGGGTTTGAACCAACTAGTTTGCAGAGGCATTTTAATGTGATGTCTGCGTGCTTTTTCTGTTTTCCAAATTTTCCGTACAATAAAAACTGACGCATGTAAAGTTAGCAAGAGTTGATAAGTGCACCTGAAGTGTCCAAATTCCAGTCTTTTTGTGTTCGCCCTGAAATATATTGGCTACAAATGTCCATCGCACAACTGTGGTCTGAGCCAACTCAGGCTGGTGAGGACTGACACTTTCTCTGACCTTGGACAATTATTTGGAAATGCATGAGTGTGTTGGAAGATTGGAGGTGACTTTTAGTATTTTCAGAAAAGTATTAGTTAAAAAATATATGTATCATAAACTTTCCCAAATGAATCACCCAGTTTTGCAGTGTATTTACCAAACTGGAATACATGTTGTAATAATGGAAATCATGACCATGTGGGAAGGATATCAATTATTTCCCACCAAAGAACTGGATGTTATTGATGGTGTTCTTGATGCGTGTAGAGCGGCAGCAGGTCTCCATGCTTTCTCACATTTCCCTTTTTTCTTATGTGTCTCCCTTGTTATGAACCAAAACCCCTTTAAAAGATTAAGGGAGCATATAGTGAAGCAAAGTATAGAAGGTTCAAGCTGGTTTAATGTCACTATTGTGCCTCACTACATGACTGTGGGTAACAATGTTAATTTGCTGTTTAAAGTACATTAGTGTAGAGCAGGGGTGTCAAACTCCAGTCCTCAAGGGCCACCGTCCTGCGGTTTTTAGATGTGCCGCAGCTACGAAATACTAGAATGAAATGGCTTACTTACCTCCTTCTTGTGTAGATAAGTTCCCCAGTGCCTTGTTAATGACCTAATTATTTTATTCGGGTGTGGTGCAGCAGAGGCATATAGTTGCAGGACAGTGACCTTCCAGGACTAGAGGTTGACAACTGTGGTGTGGAAGCCCAGCCAGTAGCATGTTGTATCCTTCGCCCGTTGTACTGTGTTTTAGACACAGAGGGAACGCATGAGGGAATAAAGTGTTCATTAGCGCTTGATGCATGGGCCGAGACAGGCTCAGCTGTGAGACGATAACATACAGGGACAACAATGGACGACTGTAGCACTCTAAACATAGGACAAGGGGGCCTCATTTAGAGACTGTTGGATATAATTCTGTTCTGAGTTTCTTTGTTTTGTCCTTTTTCTGTGAAAGCCTTTCAATACTATTGCTTAGGTTTTAGTTGAGCTCACCTCCATAAGAGGAAATGTTATATAAGTGTAAAGAAATACAAACAGAAGCATCTTATTTTCTACAGCTGTCATGCATTTAACGCACAACTGATGAGAGAAATGAAAAGTTTATGTTCATGCTTGTTAGTGTATAGAAGGCAGGAACAGTCCATGTCCACAAAATTTGAAACAGATCTGACAATATCAGCTTAAACTAACTATCTTACATGTTGTGTAAAGTATCACATCAAACTAATATACACACACACACACACAAAAAAAAAAAAAAAAAAAAAAACACATGGCAAATGACAGTAAAAGTTAAACGCTCCAGCTGCATCTGCAACTAAACATCCTTTTTGTTATTTTTCCTTGTTTGGCTCAGATACTGGGAAGTTAAACAGACAATTATCTGTAAAATAAAACTGTTTTTTGTACCTGATAAACTTTATGCTCACAAACAGCTGCTCAAGCTGTTGTTTTCTTGACATAAACTTTATGTTCTCATCCCTCGGCTATGGGTTGTTTATGGTGTTAAATGCAATAAAGTCAGTCTACAAAATGTTGTAAACTATTCAAATATTTATTCATTATAACAAACCCATTTCTGTTGGGTTTGTTAGGTTTTCTTATTTTCTGTGATCTTTCTCATTTTTATATCTCTACCTTTAGGTCGATATATGTTATTTTTTTACAGAGCCCCCTAGGGGTCATGGGGAAATGTTTTTCTTTTGCGTTCCCTCGCAAAACTTTTGCTTCGCAATATTGTACTGATCAGTTATGCGGCATAATGGAATACTGTGAGCCTTTTTACGGTGGCTGCCGTCCTTTCTGCTTTAACACAAGGTTATGTGAGATTTTTCCTTGAATGTTAATTCCTCTTTGTGAAATATTTGAAGTTTTATATCTTTTCCTTTTGGATAGAAACGCATGAAAAACCTATGATATAAACAGAAATGTACTGTAAGTAGGAAAGAAATAAAAATACATCCTAATTTGGACTATTTCTGAGTTATTATCGCGGGGTGATCAGTCATCTGAAAGTTTAGATTGAGTCTCTGTTGTGTTGGTTGTCTGAACCAAGGTATTAACATTCACGGAAAAACCCCACATAACCTTATATTAAAGCAGAAAGTACCACCGTAAAAGGGCTTACAGTATTCAATATTGTGAGGGAACGCTAAAGTTTTGCGAGTTTTGCAAAAGAAAAAAAAAATCCTCACGTCCCCTTGGGGGCTCCGCAGTTTTTTTCCCCTTTCTTTAAGAAAAAATAAATAAATTTTCTTAGTTTTCTGTTGGCAGCCAGGTCACTAAACTCCTTTCTAAACAAACCACAGCAACCATTTGGGTCACCAGCAAAGAGGCTGGCTGTGGTCCAGTCAGGATAGAATGGGTGGTTCTGTTCTTGTAGCCGAGAGAGAGAGTGAAACAGACTAAAAGAATAAGAAGGGAGAGGCAGAGTGCACTTGAGTGGGTCACCAGACTAAACATAGCATCGCATGTTAGAGATGCATGGAGGCAGCGCCCCAGCTCACATCTGTAGCTTCGGCTAGAGCCACTCCTCTGGCATGCATATTTTACAGTCTCGCTGTGTCATCTGCTCAGCAGTGCTGTGAGTTTGAGAATTTGCAATTTTTTTAGATTCATATTCTTGGTTGTTTGTTTTCAGAAGGACGACGCTCTTATTGAGCAACATGTGTGTGTTTGTGTTTGTTATGCGCAAATTTAGGACATACCAAACTTTTTCTGCCATTGTTCTCAAGTGGGTGCTATGTATTTGGTGGGGTGTTAAGTGTGTTTGTGGGGCTTATAGTGCTTGCTGCTGAGAGTCTAAGAGTGCTGGAATCAGAAAGCCCTCTGAGTTATGGCTCTGCAACAAATAATGCTGTGCATAATATTCAATTATGCATGTTGTTCATTTCCAAACTGGGATACTTACGTGCACATGTTCCGCAGCCGTGTGAGATGGTTTGCTAACATTCTGCTTTTTATAACTTCACGAAACCTTACAGAAAAGAAATATTGTATCTGCAATTTTTTTTTTTTTTTTTTTTTTAACACTAATGGTTCTGTTTTGGGTTTAATCAGAACTTAATAGAGAGGATTACAGCAAGAGCTCTATCTGAGCCAGAGATTTGTATTATCGTTTTATAATCATATCATTACTGTGCCAGTTCTCCGGCTGTTGTGCAGTGATGTAACAGATGTGTGCTTGCAAATAGAACAGTGTGGTACTCAGAGGAGGGAAACCAAACCTCAGCATGTGGCAACTGAGATTTTCATTTTTTTTTTTTCCACACCATGATCTCTTCAGAAATGAACAGTTGTTGGAATGACAGAAAGCTGGAAAAAAGAGTATCTGTTTGTTGATGTTTCTGACGGCATAAACACTCTGTCACAGTGGTGGTCTGAGCTGTCACATCACTGACTGACTGAGGGGCTGTTGCCCCAAGCACCTTTACGGATACAATTTTTCTTTCTTTTTTTTTTTTTACCCTCACTTACTCAAAACTCAAATATTATCTTGATACTGGTGTGCTGTCACAACTATTACCGACAAGTTCACCCTCAATGTAAACAAAGTGAAAAACAGACGCATGGTGCTTTTAAAACAACTGATTCCCATTTTGAAGTAAATTAAAATAAATAGAAAAAGGGTTCAATTACTGTAATTTCGGTAAATAGTTTTTTTTAATTATTAGAAATAAATTAAAAGTGTAATTTTTAACTTGCAATTATTAACATTGTTTAGAGATATTTTTAAAAATTTAATATTCCTTTTATGTGGTGGTATTATTTTCTTAGATATTCTTGTCTAATTTCATAAAGGAAATAAAATTCTTCACTAGCAGAAGATCTGAATTTTCCAGGGGTATCAATAAACTTTGCATCTTGTTCACAAATTCTACAAATTTGCAAACAAGCAATACTTACAGTAATGTCTGTGTATGGAATTCAAATCAAGTGAAATACCCTAAGGTTTCTGCTTGCAACATTTTAAAATGTGGAATAGCTCAAACATGTGAGAATGTTCTTCAGTGGACCACATTTGTCAAATTACATTTTGCTTAAAAGCTTCTGAAGTCGCGCTTTTCAACATCCTAACAAAATGGGATCATTATCTCAATCAACTGGGCCACAAGAGAGTTTTAAGATTCTGTAAACAAAACAATCAAAATAAATCAGGCTCCATGGGGTGTTTAAGAGCTTTATTTTATGCTGTTGTAATCTATCCTATAGATTTCGAAAAGGGCAAAGGGAGTCATAAGCAGTGCCGAGCTATAATTAAAGTCTAACATATAAAGGGCAGCATTAGGGCACAATGATAGCAACTTAACAGGCAATTGCATTTGTTTTCTCACTGTGAGGTTAAACACCAAGCATGCCTAGATATGCAGTCCTGTTTTTGACTTTTTATTCTGACTTTTTATGATGAAATGAAGTTACTAACCTTGCAAACATGATAAGAAAATTGTCTCCATCTTTTCACCGTCACACCAGAACTTGTAAGACTCGAAGTTACTTTACGGCAGCAAACGAAGCAGTGCGACTCAAAGCTGCCAGAGTTTATAATCACAGCCGACATCATAAAGGAACTGCATCCTGATTGTGGCCTGAGCAACCGCATCCGGATGATGAACCAAATCTGCGATCTGGCAAAAATTTAAAAAAATTACTACATAAATTATTTATGACAAACAGTAAATTGATCTCATTTTAATTTATATTTTTGTGTGTAATTAGTCCATTAATGACTCTGAATTTATTTTTTTAATGGTAATTTAGATAACACTTAACATTTTACTAATTAAATTTAATTATTATTGCATAAATTCAGTGATTAAAATAAAAAATAAATATGTTTTATCATTTCTATTGTGACATTAATTTTAGTGTGGCTTTAGTTATTCAACTCATTTGAAACTTTTTTTATTAAATATTGCAGAGAAATCAAAGCAGATATATTAATTGAATGTCAACTTTATGTTTGGTTGTAGTTTTTATTGTTCCATTTATTACCGACTGAATAACTAATGCTGCCTTCACCTACAATTTTAATTTGGCAAATAAAACTGTTTTTATAGCTTATTTATTTAAGCGCTTATTATATGCTGCCTCAGTGGCTTTCCAAGTTCCACATGGTGTCCTTATGTGCGATAATAATAAACAAACTGGGCATAAAACATTAATTATTGTAGAAATCTCTGTGGTTAGGCGGTGCAGTTTCTGCTGGTACTCCTTGTTCTCCCTGAGGTTTCGTGCGACCACCCTACACACTCTTTGAACTGCAAACACCTCCGACACTAACAGACTGCACAACCTGACTGTGTGTCACGCACAGTCTTTATGGGATCGTGTTCTTCCTTCACCTTCCATCCCCTCCCATTTGAGCAGGATGTTTCCAACATGCCTTTCAAACCTTGCTGGTGTGGTTTCAGCTGTGCCTCTGATGTGCTGTGTGTTGATGTGCCTGTGGAGTTGTTCTCTCCCCTGCTTTGTCAGTGTGGGGTTTCCCCCATGTGTAGCCATGTAATTGGAGGGCTTTAAGGGGCTTATTTATGTATTTCCCGCAAAGTAATTTTCCTGCTATTGAATGTAGTTTGAGAGCACAGTCAAAAGCAAAGCTTTTACTGTTAAAATACACCCAATTACTTGTATAAAAGGCCTCCGAATAGTATTGGCTTTGAGTGCTCCATTGCTCCATGAAAACACTCATTTCTTTCTAGATTTTAGAGCGCAGATGGCTGGCACAGAGACGGATTGTACAGATTAGCTTGCATTGTCTCTTTGGCTTTTTATGTATAAATTCTGAATCATCTGGCTCTGCTATGGACAACTACTTATGAACAAAATTGCTCTTTTACGTTGAATAGTAATTTTTACATATCAGTTTTCAGTCCAGTTAAAAACTCATACTGGCCTCAGTGAAGCCTTCTGTCACACAATTAGAGCTTGGTCCAAACTGGCTACTCAACTGGACAACGATATCGCACCAGCAGCAAATCGAAAACAAAATGTTTGGAAAAGAAAATGATCAAGACGTTGCAATCTCCTGGTCAAAGACCATGCTTTGGCTGCAGGAAATTGCTGTGGTGACTCATTAGAACGAGGCAGAAACTCAGTAAGTGGATGAAGTTGTGCAGAAACTGGGAACCTCACGCTAACTTGTGTGTATGTAACTTTACTGTGACTGCTTAATACAACAACTGTGAAACAAACCAGGCGGTCTCATTGTAAAACAGAAAATTCATCAAAGTCTGAATTCTTTTTCTGTTTCTTTTATCACCCCTCAGGTGGCTCAATGGCCCTAAGAGGAAGAGGAAGAACAGCCAATGTTCGGTGAAGAGTATGACTGGTGAGTGACTGATTTAATCTTTTAAGGTCCACGAATCCCTAATCCAGAGAATTAAAGCTGTTCATTTGTTCATTTTTAGAAATCTCATCAAACACGTGATGAATGTAGCATTTTTTAGGAAAGCTCCTCACAATGAATCTAGGCAGCTGTGCAATTGTACACAGGTAGGTGGTAGCTATTTCAAAACTGCCTTGTGGACATTTTGCTTTCAGATATGGAGAAAAATATTTTGGGCATCTGCCATTGATACACAATAGCCCTCTGCTTTGTCTGCCTTTGTGTTGGTTAGTGTTTATTGTGAGAGTGACGGCTCCAAATCCTGGGAAATGAGGGAGAGATGTAAACAGGCGAAGAAAGACGCAGTGAAAGAATTATGGTGGGAGGAACAGCTTTATTTAGGAAAATGAAGCACCTGATATGTTTTTGTTTTCCCTCCAAGCCAGCATATGGTTTGAATCACCCGCAACACTGCTGGATGGCCCATTAATGCCATCATTTTGAGCCTCTCTCTTCAGGTTGCTCTTGTAAAAGAGTCTTCTTTACTGGTGTTACGGTAAAGGTTTTGAGAAGAAAACACACACACCCACACACACACAAACACACTTTGCTTCAGCCCATCTTTTGTTGGAAGAGCAGCAAGCGTGTATGCTGCTCATGAAGTCGTTGCTCAGCACGGTGCGAAAGACACTGGCAACCTGGCAATTCACAGGGTTTCCGAAAATTAGATTGAATTGGAGAATAAATAATAGCAATTGCATTGATGAGTCAATATTTCTGTCCACCCCTAATTGTGTGCTTTCAGCTCAAGGAGCTGCAATCGTGGAAAAAAAAAGGCATGGGTTGCAACCTGGAAGGCTATGTGTATAGCCTATGTGTCAATCCTCGTGTACATGCTCCAAACGCATTCAGTGCTTTAAATGCAAGCAAAGTTGCTGTCCACCATCCTCAGCATCTTATCTTCATCAGACTCTGCTCATGTTTCTCAAAAAGATAGACACTAGAGTATGATTGATGTCTCTGACCTGCAGGAACAGTTGTCGTTGCTTTGGGTCATGCCATGCTCATTTCGCAGTCTTATATTACGCCTCAGAGATCATAGTCGGTACAGTAACTGCCACCACTTGATGGTGGTAGTTACAGAGCTGAATCCGTGAGATGTTTAAAGCCTGGGATATCACCGCATATTCAGAAATATGTGTAGGATCTAACATCAAGACAGGATAACAAGCTTTTTGAAATTAGGAGCTCATTATTTTTTTTTTCTTTTTTTAACATTATAAGCATGGGTAATCGCTTATTATGCTATTAAAGTTTTATTGTGTAGTTCATACAGCAGCAGCGGATTAGTGTGTGTAGTCAGGATTATCCCCTAATGTCCTCAGTGTTTACAGTCTCATATGTTGTCCCACCCGGACTCCTGTTGTGTCAGAGAAAGAACCATGGGACTCCGTCAGACACCTGATCCATTACGTTCCGATCCAAACAAAGAAAGCAGCTGTTCTGGCGCGACCCTCGTGAAGACCAAATATTTAACTAGGCTCTGCCTCTGCAGCAGTGACCCTCGTTGATGTCTCTTGAGTTTCCTGTTTCAAAAAAGAGGGCACTGCCACATCCAGAGATCTGCAGCGGTATTGATTTTAGGCTTGGCTTCCAAAAGCAGCTACAGACTAGCTTTAGGGTTGGTCTACCATTGTTTGGCCCTGCCAAGGCAGCAGCACTGACAATCCTCTCACAGGTTTGCCTCTGATGTTCTCCTTATCTTTTTTCTCATCCTTTTCTGAGCTTCTTTATTTTCATCTTCAGTTGTGCATTTTTTTCCCTCTCAGCAAGCCTAAAGTCTTCTTACAATCCCCAGTGGGGTTTCATCAGCTTGAACTTGGTGGTATTTGTTCAAATCGATTTGGCTTGAAATGTGACTTGTTGTGCCCCCTTGGCACTCACTCTTGCCTTGCTTTCCCACCATCCTCTTCTTGCACTGCCCCTCCTTCTTCCCCTCATCCTCTTCCTCATCTAGAATCTGTAGCAAAGCCAAAAAGCAGGGCGCAACTGACACTGCCAGTCACAGCTCTCAACACGCCTCAATACAAACACACACACACAGCTGCAATCCTGCTGCATCCGCTAAGCGTAAAGAAGGAAAGGCTTTTCATTTCATAATCTGTTTGAATAAGTTAAAGCCAGACAAAGAATTGGGTCACTATTTGACCACGCGCAACCCCGCCCGTCCTCCTTGCTGCACTTTTGGAGTTACAGACATGCAAAAAAGAAGCTAGGATGTTGCACGAATCTCAGGTTTTCATCAGTGGATTCAGCTTCTCCAATTCTTCTGTTTGGATGTAATCTGAGACTCTGCAGGAGCCAAACCGTCTGCTGGAGCACTCTGCTACTCCCCTCTTTCCCTTCATGTTTGGGGTTGTTATCATACCGTAAAAGAGGTCTGTCCGCCTCAGTCCTGATACAGGGTGATATGTATCAGAAGGAGCTGAAAAATTCTGAGCAGCTGTGGAGCTAAAAACGCATGCTGAAGTCACTCAGTTTGTGTATGTTTGTGCCCACACTGACTTTATTTGCAACTTGCACTGGACCATTTCCTCCCCTCCCAGCTGCTCGGCCACGTATACGGCACATGAAATGTCTGGAAATCTGCTATTTCCTGTGTTTCTGAGCAAACTCCTTGGTTCTCCCCAGTCTCAGAGGCGGCATAGGAGGAGAACGAGCTGTTCCGTTCCCGACCTATGACTTATTCCCTGTGTCAAAACAAGTGTAACTAGTTCCATGTAGTTCACATCCAATTAAACTCATTAAAGATGTTTAGAACGTTTTAAATTAAATTTCTGAAAGTTAAATTAGAAGTAGAGGGGGAGCTTTTAAAGTAAGGGTTCCTCACTCAGTGCTTGCATTTTCAAAATGTAGAAAAAAAAGTGGGGAAAGATATTTAAGCTTACAGACTGCATCTCCTACGTCATCTCCTATTTAGACTGGTCTAAATGTTGTGACCATCCTCTCATCATTGTGTCGCATGTCTTTCCGTCTTTACTTCCTGTATTGTGTCCTTCTTTAATTTCTTTCTTGTGTTTTTCTTCTACTTTCTTTCTTATGTTCTTTCTTTCTTTGTTTCCAGGTGCCCTACTTCTCTTCTTTTCTTTTCTTATTTCCTTTTTTGATTTTTTCCCTCCCCTTTTTCTTTTCTTTCTTCTGTCCTTATTTCAAACATATCAACTGCACAAATATTAATGGATCTTTTGAATTTACTTCCAAAATAAATTTGTTGCAAGGTTTTGTATACTTCTTATTTTATAAAACATTGTTTTTAACAGGAAAGTAAAGCAATGAGAATGCTAGAATGCCAGATAGCCTGGAAAGATTCTGAATGTTTTCATTGAAAATCCCAAAAGATACAAACGCAGCACCCTTGATGAACGTACTGTTTCTGGTTTAAATAGCCACCCTCCCGCAGTATTGTGCCCTTTATGTTTATGCTCGTGTTACCTCTTCTTTCAGGGTACATCCCCAGCTACCTCGAAAAGGATGAGCCATGTGTGGTGTGTGGCGACAAGGCCACAGGGTACCACTACCGCTGCATTACCTGCGAGGGCTGCAAGGTACGCGTCCACAGAGACACTCACCTCTGTCAGTTATCTGTAGATTCTTTTTTTGTGTTCATGTTACAAGCCAAGGCTTTTCTCAGTGCAAAAATACAGTGATCTTTACATGCTTAGGAGAGATTATGTTTTGGATGTGATTCACAGTAAGAAAAATCAATAAAGGTAAAAAAAGAAAAAAAAAAAGAAAGAAAACCTTCAGACAGGCTGAAAATGAGCTTATTTGGATCTTTGGGTCAGATACAAGATTTCAGATACATTTATTCCTTCGTGGAAGCTAAGCTAAAATAACTAATGCTTGATGTAAGGTTTTTACACCTTACTTACTGTGTGTTAACGTTTCTCACAAACAAGACCAGCAGGAGGACTGATTGTTCCTGACTTTAATGAGATGTCGTAGGATGTGGGATTTAAGGTTTTCATTTTATCTTGTCCTTTTCTTGTCCTCCATCGCTTTAATTTCTGCCTGCTCTGTTTCCCATCAGGCCTCCACTGTATCTGACCGACTGTCACTCTGCCTGAAGCATTCATTCATTCATCCGTCTCCCCCTCTCTCTGTGTATGCTTTTCGTCGTGCCTGCAGGGTTTCTTTCGTAGGACCATTCAAAAGAACCTCCATCCCACCTACTCCTGCAAATACGATGGCTGCTGCATCATCGACAAGATCACCCGCAACCAGTGCCAGCTGTGTCGCTTTAAGAAGTGCATCTCAGTGGGAATGGCCATGGACTGTAAGTGCAAAGTTTTTTTTCCACATTCTGTCACTTGACAAACACGAACGTCAGTGTATTATACTGGGATTTTTAATCATGGTAAAGTAGAACAAAAGTTAAATAGTTTTAATTTTTCATTAAACAGAAAAATTAGGAAATAATGGCACACATTTGTATTTGGCCCCTATTAAGCTGTTACCCTTAAATACAATCCAGAATTCCTGTTTGCAGTTGCCCACAACCCAATTAGGTGGAGCAGACTTTACACCATCCTGAAAATATCATATTGGGTGTTGAGAAAGACTTGGGCCTGGGGCGGAGGCTGACCTTCTACTAGGTCAATGTCCCTAATTATATGTCCAGAGTTACAATGGAACAGCTTAGATGAAAGCATATGTATGTGTCCAACTGAAAGTTTCTGCAAAGGCATGAAAATAGATGCTTTCTGTTCACTCAGGCTGAGCTTGAGCTATTATACAAAGGCTTTCATAAAATCTCATGAAACATGAGTTTGTTGGCAGAATTTGAACATATTTAAGGAGTGTAGATGCTGGTGTACATTCAGAAAATTGATATTAAAGTTTGTATAGGAAATAAGTAATAAGCGATCTAACTCACAAGTTATTGTGGTTGAAATGTGTTTTCAAGTAAAAACTCTTCCTTTAAACTTAATGTACATTTAAACTTTTCTTCTTTCCTCCACAGTGGTCCTGGATGACTCAAAGCGGGTGGCGAAACGGCGCCTTATTGAGGAGAACAGGGAGAAACGCAAAAAAGAGGAGATGGTGAAGTCCCTGCAGACCCGTCCAGAGCCCACTGTGGCCGAGTGGGACCTGATCCGGCTGGTGACGGAGGCCCATCGGCATACCAACGCTCAGGGTGCACAGTGGAAACAGAACCGCAAATTCCTGGTAGGAACATGTTGCTCTGGTTTCCATTTTTGTCCAGATAACTCCACTTTCTTTTAGATGTACAATATTTTATGTTCTGACACTCAAATGCAAGAAAAAAAAATATTAATCCAAGACAGTCTCCTCTAAAGGTCGGAGCTTGCTGCAGGGTAGGAGTTTGGCTCTGAAAGTGTTTGAAGGTGCATAAAAGCTGAATGCTTCACATAATCCTGAGCCAAAACACAAGGTCGTTTTGGCCTGAGTTTGTGGGAGGTGTGAAGCCTTGTAGGACAAACCTGAGAGCAGCAGGAGCAAAAAAGTCTGCATGCTTTTATTTTTGTTGCTAATCAAAGCATGAACAGGTTGAGCTCTCTTAGTTACAACAAATATATAATATTTTAGAAGGCTTTTCAGACTAATAAGGCCAAAAGCAAATCTGTATAGTGACATTTTATTTACTCATTCAAAACACAGATCTCTGTAATACAAATAAGACCTTCAAAATTTTGGGAAAACAAATTTGGTTGCCAATCTTTCAGGAATGTACATCATGATGTAAAATTTTTGAAAAGCTCTTATTTGTTTATATTTTTCATGGTATTATGCAGACCTCTATAAATATATCTCTATAGAGATATATCTCTCTATATATATATTTAATAAAGATTTAAACCACATGGAGACATGACGCCTGTTAATTTTATTAGACTCTACGATCTGCATGTGTGTTCTCTTTTTTATGTAGTTTTACATTTTTATCTCTTTCATTCACTTTATTTAGAATTTGTTTGCGAAAAAAAATTACTTTTGTATTTGACGGGTGACGGGCCAGCATTTGATTAGTTTATCTTCAGCAAACACAACACGCCGAGGCTTCACCAGGTCCTGCTGAGACTGTGAACTCAGCTTATTGCATTGATTTGCATTAGTCTCTGTGGATCAAGGTCGTGATAGCGTTCTGGTTTGAAAATGTCCACTTTGAAGAAAGGAGGAATAATAAAAAGTAGAGAGTAATTGAATTAAATTTACTTCTTGGTAAATGAATGCATGATGTTTTCTTGTCTCCAAGAGGTAAATTATACAGATAAGGAATTTGTTTGATTTTTCACTTCCTTATTTCTAAAAGAAAAGTAAAAACAAATAATTGTTTTTTTTTTTTCTGCTGCTGCTGGAGTGAGTCATGGTTTGCTTTATCCGCTGTGTGTATGACACCAGCTTTTGACGTGGGGCTGCATGTTGCTGTTGACTCACACATTCAGTTGTTTCCAGTGAGTCCACTGACTTGAGTAAGTGAATCAAATCCAACTCATCGGCTGAGTCTGCTGTATTTCTGCCGATTCAGGAAATCTCTGACAACCCACATCCTTCAGTGTGGATGCTGTTTCTGAGTGAAGAGGGCTCAAAGTTAACTGTTTTCCAACGTTAGTGAGGCCCTCGCCATGAAATATGCTGACTTTGAACATGCTGTCAGGCTCTCGGAAATCTCAAAGTTAAGGTGCTTTCCCTTGAAAGCCAACAGAGAAGCTGCTGTTTTATGTAATGCCAGCAACACTAACCACCCAAATAGCTTTACTCAGCAGTGTGGTATCTGTTTAAAAGACAAAGCTAAGATTACTAGTAGCACTTTCAAACAGCTGGATGCATCCAGAATGAACGTCTACGAAACAAAAACTGTGGGAATAGTTTTTCATTTTAAGTGTTGGATCATCTTGTACACACCATTCTTCTCGGTTTTCTGTTCTACTCTCTGAGCCAAATAAAATATAAAACCTCTCCACAACCCTTCACCGCACAGAAATCTCCTGTTATTCACAGGTCCTAAACTTTAAACTGTTGCTCTTAGAAACATTTGCCAAATATTGAATCTGAATCTCTGTTTTCAGTCTTTGCAATTAGAAACAGAAACGGATCCAATTTAAGGCCCTTTGAACATCTGCTTTTAGTTCAGTGCAGATTAAGTAAAAACACTTTTCATACCACAGACCTGCAGGTTCCCAGAGGAGATCTCATCATCCTGTCAGATGTTGTGTGTATTTATATTTTTTGGCTTCTGTTAAACTTTTTATCTCATCTTTTTAAAAAAAACATCTATATATTATTGGGAATTATGTATATTCATACATTTTTTGGTTTTATTCTTGAATCATGATGCCAAAATTGTGGCAAACACCTTTTATTTATTGAAATTTGTTGAACTTGACTCATTGAGAGCAGTTTTAATCGCTGTTGGTATGAAATAGACTTACTATAAGCTCATTATGAAAAGAGTTTCCAGAGATAATGTATCTGATAATTGTCAACATTTCAGGACTTTGATGCTGAAACTGCAATAACAAGGTTCCAAGTAAAAACAAGTAAATCAGTTGAACTTTATTCACACTTAGGTCCATCTACCATGTGCAAGCTGCTAATTTTTATTTCTCTGATTGATTGGTTCTTTAATTCACTTGAAGTCATTTTATCTTACATACAATTTTTTGTTTTTGTAATAATATTGAACCGGAGCTTCAGCTTTGTGTTGGACAATGGGGGAGTTTTGCAGACAGCGTCAAAAATGCTGGGTGGAAAGTGAGTACTGGTATAAATTACTCCTAAACTTCCTAGTGTAGTTTGTTTTGAACTCTAATGGATTGTGCTCCCCAACTGCCCATAAATCTAGGATTACATTCTGACTCACCGAGCAAGAGGAAACTCTGTGGGAAGGTCACCGTGAGACGCGTTGGTATTTTTCAGTCTGTAAATCTGATGTTAAAACGTCTTTTCATTCGAAAGTTGGTTTTGATTTCACAGACTCATGACTGACTTTCTGAAACTTGACTTTCTTTTTCTTCTTCCTTTCATTTGTTTTGTTTTCTTTCTTATTTCCTTCCATCCTTGTATCTTTGTTCATCTCTTGTTCTCATTCTTTTTTCCTCCATTCTATTTTTCCTCTTGCTTTCCTTCTTTTCTCCCTGATTTTTTTTCTTCCTTCTCTCATAATCCTTGTGCCTTTTTGTTTTTCTTTTTCATCATTCCTTATGTTCTTCCTATCTTCCTGTCTTTACATTCCTTCTTCTTTCTACTCTTTGTCTTTTCTCCTTTTTTGCATGATATCTTTCCTTCTCGCCTTCCTACACTCATGTCCTTCCTTTGACCTTCATTCTTTCCTTGATTTCTTCCTCTCCTGGTGCTCTTCCCTTTTTCATTCATTCCATACACGTGTCCTTTCTTCTGTCCTTCCATCATCATAAATTGATGGTGTACTGATAGAGTAGTGTACTTTGACATTGAATTTGAAAAGTTGAGTCTGGAAAAGTGTGGAGTATTTACGCAATTAATGGTTTGGAACCTCGGAACACTACACCTTTTTTTTATTATTATTGAAAACAAGACTCAATAAGAGACAAAAGGTAAGCTTGCATTCCACATAAATCCTAAAACAGACATTTTCTATTAGTCCTATCGAGGCTCCTTGGTTATTTTAGAAATTGGACTGATTTGGAAATAGAAAAGCCCCATGATTAATCCCCATCAGCTTCCAGAAGTTTTTTCCTGCATTAATCTAGGTAATCTGCAGTGCTTACTATGAAGACTTCTTTGTGCTTATTGCTAACATTTTTCAGGTTCTCCATGCTTTTCTAATCACACTGGGGTTAAGGATGAACTCTGCACAGACAAAAGCCATTAAACAATGTAAAATATGACTGAAAGACTGAGGAAGGAGTGTTCTGCTTCCAGTATGTATAACCTGCAGCTGATTCTCCTGCCTCCCCCTTGACAGCTATTTTCTCAACAGTGATGTAAAAATTTTTCCTGACCTCCATCTACAAACACTATGCTTAGTTTTTGGCTCTTTCACAGCATCCATCTCTGTCTTCCATGATTGATGACTTACTGTTTACGACGATTATTCTCATGCTTTAGTTTTATCCTGTTCATGGCCGGAGCCCAACTTAAATTAATTGCTATAGCTCTGACACATGCATTATTCAGTAGAAGGTAACACAATATGTGTCATTATCACACCTCAATTTACACAGATTTCTCAATGCAAACCCTTGACTTTCCCCCATTTATCACATTAGACCCTGAAACGAAAGTGTATTTTATTGAGATTTTATGTGATAGACCAAGATAAAGTGGAGCGTAATTATGAAGCAGAAGGTGAATGATAAACGATGCGTGGTTGTCAAATAAATAAATAAAAGTTAAAAATAAAAGTTTGGTTTGTAATTATTTTGAGGTGAGCAATGGATGGGACTTTGTGAGGCATTAGCCTTAACCTTGATGAGAATTATATTTCATTGTCACAAGAGCTCAAGCCAAGGGAATTTTGTCAAAACAATTATGATGATAATAAAAATGCACAAAAAGTATTAGCCTTAGCTGTGCACCATAAAGGCAAACAAAAGCTGCACAACGCTCTTACAGGATCATGAAGGTTTTGATCCTTGTAAGGTATGTTTAGATAGATACCCCTGAAAATCGAGATCTTCAAGAACGTACTCTTCAGGTGTTATTTCTGAAGGGGCTAATCACTGCCTTATTTCCAATGCAGCCAGAGAAGATTGGCCAATCTCCGGTTGCCCCGACGTCCGACGGAGACAAGGTGGACCTGGAAGCCTTCAGCGAATTCACCAAGATCATCACCCCTGCCATCACCCGAGTAGTTGACTTTGCCAAAAAACTGCCCATGTTCTCTGAGGTGAGGAAAGGTTAATTATTTGGCAAAAAACAACCAGTTCGTGCATAGATGAATGCCTCTGTCAGGCTGTGTGTGTTTGTAAGTGCTCATAGAAATGTGAGGGTCATGAGTACGATTTGTCAAGCAGATCATTTAATCTGTCTGAAGGAAAGGCCAATTAATTTCATTGCAGATTTATTCATACCTCTTAAACATTTAAACTGCTTTACATTTTGTTTCATCTTGGATTTTCTATTATAGATCTCCATCACGTCAGAAGTAAAAGAAGGATTTGCGGTTCTTGAAAGTTTATTCAAATATCACCTTTTGCTGCAACTGCAGCTGCAAGTCTTTCAGTTATTTCTGTACTATCTTTGCACATTCTCATGATTTTCAATCTGTTGACGTCAATTTTAAGATTTTAATAAAGATTCTCAGTTTGATATTGATCTGGACTTGTCTGTCTTGATCTGAAGTGTGACTCTGGTTGTATGTTTCAGCTCTGTCTGCCCTCATGGCTTTCTTTCAAAAAGGATTTTTTTTCTTGTCGCTTTGTATTTGTGAAGCGAACAGACACTTGTATTAGTCAATATTTCCTCCAGCACTGAATTACAGGTAGACACCTCAGGGAACAAGCTGTCTTACATTTGGGTTATATCAATTAGTAAACATATAATAAAGTATTGACAAGGCATTATATTATCACTGATTAAAGAGTTATTTTCTGATGGGACAGATGGCTTTAAATAGGCCGGTAAGTGGGAATTTGTAGCATATTTAGCTACATATGTGGAGAAGTTGCAACTTTGATTCTGTACAACATTTAGAAACAAAAATCAAAGGCAATGATGATGAAACTGCTTTTTTCAATGTAATTGTGTGTTTAACTGTTTCTTCCTTGATAGATGATACCACTGAAATCAATAAAAAAAAAAACTTATTGTGTTGAAAATTAAAGCTTAGTAGATAGCAATGCCAGAATTTGCCTTGTTTTATCTCAAAATAATAAAAGACACTATAAATTAGGCTGTTTAATCTGATAACATTGGACTTTGGAAAAAACCTATTTAATCCATGAGGCTTCTTCATCCTGCCTGTCTGAAGCCCTGATAGGAAGCGCACCGAAACAAAGCCAGCAGTCATTTACTCACTAAAAAAAACAGTAATTAATTGCTGCTCCTTTAAATTGACACAGCCATAAATGCATTGTAAGTGTTTGGTTTGAGCTTCAGTTACAAGCCATGATTAGAAATTTACAAGACAGATCAAGGCAACAAATGTGAATTAATCTGCTCGGCTGCCAGGAGCGACACAGGGAGAGTAGAGTTCGCATCGAGGTGAGATTAATTCAGTGAACGCATTCTGCACACGTAACGAGATGAGATTCAGCTGAGAGGGGCTTGCATCCATGTAAATCAGGGTGATTTTGAAATAATCTGTTTATTCATGGCAACAAATACATGCTTGGTATTCATCCATCGTTCTTCTTCTGTTCTTGAACCACTTCTTTTACCATTATCTATATGTCTCCCTTATTATCTGTTAAACTTTTCTTGATGCTGTGATTTTTTTTTTGTAACACCAAAACTGAGCCAATTAGGCCATGCCCACACGAGAACATAACTGATCTGAACAATCTTCATTCTCCCAAAAATATACTCATAGAAATAGCACTGTTATCGTGTTGGTCAGGTCAAAGGGCAGTAGCATACTAGTCAACGTGGATATTATGGACACACTTAGTGATGGTTTTTGAAAATGATCAAGTGAGGAAACTTGTTCAATGTAATGAACTTTTTTTAGCAACATAAATGTAAATGGATGCAGAATATATTTTCACATTTCTATGTTTGCATTGAATGATAAATGTGTGGGTTTTTTTCCGTTTTTTTTTTATCACCAGCTGCCTTGTGAAGACCAGATCATCTTGTTGAAGGGCTGCTGCATGGAGATCATGTCTTTGCGTGCAGCCATCCGTTATGACCCAGAAAGCGAGACACTGACGCTGAGCGGGGAGATAGCGGTGAAGCGCGAGCAGCTGAAGAACGGAGGGCTGGGTGTGGTGTCTGATGCCATCTTTGATTTGGGCAAAAGCCTGGCGCAGTTCAACCTGGACGACACGGAAGTGGCGCTTCTGCAGGCCGTGCTTCTCATGAGCTCAGGTATGCTTAAAGAAAACAGGCATCTTTCAATTTATAATTGCATGTCAATGGCTTTACATTCATTTGAATGAAACATGTAGTAAATTAAGTCTTTTTATTATTATTTAAATAAAAATTTCAGTCGTACTTCTTCATGGGAGGTAAAACTTTTAAATTGCTATGTACAGTACTTAGCACTATGTTTGTATGTACTGTACATAGTGCTTAGAACTAGGTGTTTAAAAACCAGAAACTAACTTTCAGGTAAACCTTCCCCAGGGAAAGGGGAACCATGAGTAACTGAAACACACTTTTTGGTCCCCTTTCTTAAAGATTGGGTCCACCGTCCCAATCTCTCACTCTAGAGCCATTGTCCCAGTCCTCCATGTAACAAAAAAGAGGCTCTTCAACCAGGCCAATAATGCCCAGAGTCTTCACCATCTCAGGATGAATGCTCTGCACTCCAGGCAGCGTGCTGATGAGGAGCTGACCACAACTAATTGAGTCATGTAGAGAAAGTAAATTTTGAACTTGGAAAATTTGCTTCCTCTATTAAGGCTATGGGGGACTGGATTAAGTAGCTCTTCAAAGTTATCCTTACTTTACCCAATAAGGTTCTTTGTGTGGTTCAGCAGCTCAAATCCTATGCCAAACAAGACAGGGAATAACCTATGCTTTCTTCTCTGAGTCACTTCCAGGACTTCCTTGAGACCAAACAAAAGTCCATCCCCAAAGCTTCTCTGAATTGCTGCCACACCTAAATTTTTTCTCATGCATGAACAAAGGCATGCATTATCTGGCAACAGGATTGTCAATTCTGCTACATTGTCAATGAACTTATATATATATATTGTTTTATATAGTGTAGCATTATTGAGTAAAATATTTGTGCACCTGTTCCTGGCTTTCTCAATGATTTATTGCTGTAGTCACACATCATCATAACAAGTCAAGAAACCACTGCCAAGTTCAGAGCTTACTAAATGTTCCTTTGTCTCCTCTGTTGACAGATCGCTCAGGCCTGACGTCTGTGGACAAGATAGAGAAGTGCCAGGAGACGTACCTGCTGGCATTCGAGCACTACATCAACTACCGCAAGCACAACATTCCCCACTTCTGGCCCAAACTCCTGATGAAGGTGACGGATCTGCGGATGATCGGCGCGTGCCACGCCAGCCGTTTCCTTCACATGAAGGTGGAGTGTCCCAACGAACTGTTTCCGCCGCTTTTCCTCGAGGTCTTCGAGGAACAGGAAGTGTGACACGTGCAGATGCCAGCGTGTGCAATGGGAAACAGGAAACAGGAGACAGGCTTAGCCACAGAGACGCATGGAGAGTCTCATCGGCAGGAATTTGCGTTTCTCCGACATCAAATTCACAGTTTGTGGTTACAAAGGAACTGGATATAACCGGAAAGAAAACACACACCAGCAACGGGAGAATGGAACAAGAACCTCCTCCCTCTCTTTCGTACACCATCTCCTGTTTAAACATCCATGTGGGGGCCCTTCTGTCTGAGCAAGCTGTTTTATCCAGAAAGAGTTGTTGCCATTTGCCAAGACACATCCACAAACACATAAAAACACTCACACACAGAGCCACAGCTTGTTTCACCTCAGTTCTTCAGGGCAGCATTGTTTGTGGGGGTCAGGTTCCCCTCCTTGTTTCCTTTTTTTTATGCTTCTCGCAGTGCTCACGTTTTGAAGCAGCATCAGAGCTGGTTAGGATCTTTCAGTATTATTTCTGAATAAGTGTTAAAACAGTAGTTCAGAAAACAGCGTCATTTCTCACAGTCATGTGAGCAATCAGCAAACACTGCAAGCTAAAATTTTCTTTTTTCTTTTTATTTTACATTTCTTTGGTGTGCAATGGCGCCGATGGAAGCAAATGCAACCGGACTCGGCTGCCAGGTAATCAACTCAATCTGAGCCTTTACTGCTGTCTTGTTGTTTTGTTTTGGAGCTGCTGCTCCTCTAAGATCCCACTGAAACAGGTGCTATATTTATATAAAAAAGGCTAGTCCAGTTCGATGAAAATGTTCTGTTAGCCTTTAAAAAGGGGGCGGACCGTATCTACTTTTTTTTTTTTTTTTTTTTTTTTTTTGTCATTGGACCGGCTCCTGTGACTTATGCACACACAAACAGACATACAGACATACCATACAGACATCCAGACTTACATACATACATACATACATACATGCATATGTGCAGGCAGTCACTGCTTGTGCAGCTGTCATACCGTCGTATGAATGACAATGAAGCGCTTCTCTCCAAGGAGTTTCAACTCTGAAAGAAGGAAAGAAAAAACAAGATGGGAGGAGGGAGAGATTCCTTTTGAGAAGCAGAAAAAGGAGGAACGGAGGCAGGGAGAGGAAATGCGTTGTAATACCCGGACTGGGGTCAGAAGTAAATCTTCTACACCCCGTCTGCCTCTGTCTTCATTTGACACACACATTTATATGAAAACACACAACTTCACCTCAGAGTAACATAAATGCCTCATTTTACTGTACACACTGCACGACAGTGTTGATTTAAAGCCCTAATCCCTAGGGTTTCTACAGAGTCCTCTCCTCACGGACTCAGCTCAGTGTGGCCCCTCCAGGCTTCCATACACACTTGCCTTTTTTAGAAAAAAAAAGAAAAAAAAAAGAAGAAATAAATCTGTGGGAGTCACTGAGAGTAGGCAAAAAGGCCAAGAAGGCTACCATTTACCTCAAATGCGGACACACCCCGAGGATGGGGCGGCCATACCGCCCCACGGTGTCAGGCACTACCTCACCTCTGTGGACACTGGGCAGCTGCCCACAGCCAGACATACACCGTTCAACTGGTTTCATATGTGGACTAACACAAAAGTTCAGACTTTTTATTTTGTTGTTGTTTTGCATAGCGGCACAAAAACACTCAAAGAACACACACAGACACACATTTAACTCTCTCACTTGGTTCTAATGAAAAACTGTACTAAAAGACAGGAGGGCCGACCACCCTCCCCCACCCTGCAGGGGGGGAGTGGTACCCATCACATTCGGATCATCTCGTGTTCTGTTATTTGGGACCAAGCGTCATCCTTTCACCCCCTTCTGTAAAAACAGAAACTGACTCACAGGAGCAAACAGTGAATGGTGGGCACCCCCAGCTTAGGCCACCTCAGAAAGCAAGCAAGAGGAGCAGATGAGCCACGGCAAACAAGCGCCCATGATGGGCTCCCCCACTGAATTAGCACGCAGAGACTGGGCGTCTGCAAACGAGTGACTTTCCACAGCTCGCCCATGATTTCTGCCACTGGATATGGAACAAAACAGGATATCTGTGATTGATGGTCACCACATTAGATTTACAATCATGGGGAAAAGAAAGTTTCTAACAAGGTCACTGTCATTTTAATTTAAAAATTTGTACCAGCCACTCAGACATTTGAGAGGCTTTAAATAGTTCATAATCCTAAGCTCCCTTTTCTGCTATATTGACACACAAAAAACAAAATGTTTTTTTATGAAGATAGTTTCAGGTCAGTTTCTCTTATTTTTACTATTTTGTGCCTATGCATAGTTGTATTTCCCCTTTCTACTTAAATTTGTTGCTTTTAAACTAAACATTTTATAACCGTGAACTTAATCACTTTGTTTCTACTGGTAATTAAAGTATAAATGTGAAATATAGAGAAGATGATATTTAAAATCTGTAAATCTAAAAATGCTAAAACTCTTAACGTTTAATTTAAGTGTATGTTGCAAGGTTGAATTTTATTACATGTAATATTTTGACATTTGTCCAGTGACCAGTGTTGATTTCCACCTTTGATCAGTAAAGTGGTAGAAAAAAAAACTACATTGAATGATCAACTGTAGGATTTCTTAGTTTTTCTAATCACTGTAGATTAGCCTCCACTTTTCATTACAGCAAAATATTCTCTGTTGAGTTTGGTGTCTCTGTCCCGTTGAGTCCAAATTTAAGCCATGCTTCAGCTTTCGGACAGAATAATCCTTATTTCACTCTACAATACATGGTAACAAAGGTGGAATTTCTTTTTGTCATGATTGTACTCAAACGTCTTATGTATCCTAGTTCTTGTCACTATACTAGTAATGTGTAAAATATCCATGGCAGACATCATACATGAGTCATGACAATAGTCATTCTTTAATGACTATTAAAGAATACAGCATCTGTTATAAAAGTCCACTCTGTTCCTTCGATTTTGGGTCCATGCCAAATCTGGGCTCCCCTCCTATAAAAGAATCAGTTCTATTTCAATGTCAAGCAGCAGTCCTGAACATAAAGGATAACTCACACCTCTACCAGATGGATAAGCATCCGCAATGGAAAGTTAAAGAGGACCTGGAATGTTGCTCCTTAAGCACATCAACAGCTTCTGGGAATCATCACTTCTCCTGCTCTGCCATCCTCATGGCCTTCCTTGGAGCTGAGCTCAAGCGGCCATTACATCCCCATTCAGCCGGGCTAGTGGGAGTTTTTGCACTACTGGAGCGGTCCTCACTTTCACCCTTTCCTTTTCAAAGTTTTATCTGTACACATTTGTTGGCCCAACTTACCCTAAATGAGAATGCTTGACCACTCTGTATAACAGAGGCTGACAGCCGCAGTGGCCTCAGGCTCAAACCTTTCCTGTTGTCAGCATCACGCTGACAGTCCAGAAAAAAACAGGGGGGGTTGTGAGAGACCCCTGCATGGGAGGGTTTGGAGGGCTTTAGCACTTATCGTCTTCTCATAATCATCATCATTACATTTCAGATCTGGGGCCCTCCAAATTGTTTTTCCTCCTCTTCTTAACCTTGCTGTTCCTCCACGGGTTTGGCCAAGAATCGCTGACACCAAACAGGATTCAGGCCTCTCCACCTTGTGAGACAAGGCTGGCCATAACCGCCTTTCAGAGAGGCGCCACTGATTGAATGTGAACAGCAAAGCAGTAGAGACAAGATCAAGAGATTTGACACAAGGAAGCAAAATAAAACAAGATGCCATTATTAACTTGGAATAAAGTGGGAATTATGGATGGGGAAATGTTGGATATGCAATGTCCCCCCCCCAATTTAGGTGCCCCAACCTCTTCTCCCACACCAGCCGAGGACCCAAAATGATCCCCCACCCCACCTCCTTCTCTCAGTTCCAGTTGGAAATTTTAATACTGTGGGGGTCGGAAAAGATATCCCACATTCCAGAGATTGAGGTTTGGATCACCTCTTTGTTAAACAACTGAAAGAGGAGTGTAAAAAATCTGATGTCCTTTTGTTGAGCTGACTGGGTTTTTGTGTGTAACCGAGGTGGTTAAATGCTGCTTTTCCTTAAGGGACAAAAATAAAATCTGAAATGATATGAATCCATAAAGCAAAATTTAAAAAGAGAGGACTTAAAAAAAAAGACTCCTAAACAGAATTATTGGAGTTTTTTTTTCCTTGTTTTCGTATATTTCTTTGTATTTTGATGCTTTAACTGCTCCGTGTAAAAGAGAGAGGAAAAAGAAAATGGCTGTAGTCACTTTTTGACCATGTGTGCAGTGTAACATTGGAGAAATTTCACTTCTTTTGCCCACATCTGTCTTTTGTGTTGAGACGCCAACTGATGTGTTTTGTCTAGTGTCTCTCCAGTTGTCTGTCCTCTTTTATCAGAGGAGGAACTTACAACCAACAAAACAGGAGTTGTTTTTTTTTTTTATACGTATATATACTTCTCTTTTTGTAATGGAATACAACAGAAAATAATGCAACCTTAAACTGAAAACAGAAAAAAACTGAAACACAAGCCTGTCATACCTCACGCAACACAAAACTCATACGAACTTGGGAGGCGTCGTGTTTTGCAGGCACATGTAAAATTGCAAAGATGCATATAAACTAAAAAGGAACAGAGAGGGCCTGTGTGTTTGCATCCGTACACAAGAACAGCTCAATAAATTAGATTATTATTGCAAAGTTAATTGATTTCAGTAATTCAATTCAAAAGAGAAAATCATGTAGGACTTCTTGCACACGTTAATACATTTCAAATATTTATTTCTGAGTTAATGTTTATGAATATGGCTCGAAGCTAAAAGACAAAAACACATCCAGTTTTTCTGGAAAAAAAATCTCGTGCCAATATGTTATGGTTTACAGAATCATGGGGAAAACTACTGACTGGACAGCTGACAGTATAGTCATCGACAGGCTCTACAAGCAGGGTAAGCTATGAAGGAATGCTGAATCCAGGCATCAGCCCATGACTTTCATTTTTTAACTACAAAATATAAGTTTCATTTTGTAAGAACAAAATAAAAGTCATGGGCTGAGGCTGAAGCATCTTATTACTACACTATTATTATTACCAAACTTGGTCAGGGCTCTTTTTGCATCAAATGCAAAAAAGATTTAGCTCATTATTGGCATATTCACCAATTCAGATTTTTCTGTGGAACACAATTTTTTTGCAGAAAATCTGCCTATTCACCTTTTTTCCCACCTTTATTTGTATTTTATTTTTTTACTGAAAATGCAGCTTAGGAGCACTTGACACTGTTGGCTGGTATTTGCAAAGCAGCCAATCCTGAAGTAGTATTTATTTTTCTTGCCGCCGTTTGGCTATACCCTGAAGTACAGAGACAAGGTAGACTTTAGAAATTGGCTCCTGTGGTAGTGCTCAGAGAATTTCCACTGTGTGTATGATTGCATATTAAGGTGTATTTGGTGTTTGGTGTAAAATAGTCAATTTTAGGAATTTTTACCAAGGGCTATTAAGTATTTCAGGATTTTATCTGTTTGCGGGTGGTTCTGGACCCTTACTGTTGACATAACAGCGAGAAAACAAGATTAGCTTCTCCAAAGTTTTCTAAATTATATTCAAACTTTATCCCTCCACTGAACCTTCTATTTATAAGCATGGTTGAAACACTCTTAGCATCCACTTTTTTTAGCTATATCTTTTTGTTGCTCTTGCAGAAGCTGTCCGTCACTTTCTGCTGCTCAACTGTCAAGTCTGGAGTTTCCCAAATAATTGTGTTGACCATAAAATGGCCATAAAATAACATTGTGTTTTAGTGGTGTTATATTTTCCTAAGAAACATAATTTGGGGTTTTCATTAATTATAAGCGAGAATCAATAAACTGTTTCTGCATGCAATACAGCTATAAAATGAGTTTTACTGAAACAAAATTACTGAAAAGAATTAACTTTTCTATGATATTCTACATTATTGAGATGCATCTGTTGGTTTTTCCTCAAAGTTTGGGGCCCTCTTATTGATTTGGATCTCAGATGAACCCAAGGACATGCTTTGCTAGAATCACTCAGCACATCTCTGACTGTGTTGTAGATCATGACTTTAAAAAATGTGAACGGCCCAGAGACTGAGGGATGTTTGCTTCTATAATGGCTGATTGTTTTATGGAACTGAATGTAGCTGAAAGAGGGGGGCACTGGACCTTAACCTGGCACCCACAACCCAGCTTCCACTCACCAGCAGAGAGGATAGTGGTGTCACACAGACATTAGGGGGGGGGGGAACAAACTGAAAGGATATATTGCCCGTTTGCAAGGTGCAATACTATGTACTTTTGTATGTTTTCGGTTTGGATTTACTTTTTGTTTACTTTTTACTTTTTCAGCAGTGGGGAGGGGGAACATGATCAATGATGTAAATACAAAACCATACAAAAACACTCAAGATTCATTATAAAAGTCAACTTTACCGCTCCATCCCATTGTCATGTAATGTAAGTGAAGACAACAAAAGAAGCGAAGAAATGTGTAATGTTTGTTACAATTTTTTATGTGTGCACGCTCTCACATGTGCATGCAGGTCCATAATCAAAAGTGCCCCTTGACATTAATCATAACCCCCTGTGCCTCGTCTTGTTTGCAAAGAGATAAAAGCCTACGCCCTCTGTAGTCTCATGACGACATGAAGTGCTACACGTGTGGCTGTGGGTTTTTTGTGTGTGCGTGCTCAGATATTGTCCTTTAAAACTGATGATGCGAGTGGGGAGAGCAGCTCAGTTAGCTGCAGGAAAGGAAAGAGGTACACTTGGACTCTTTGTCTGGCATGTATCTCAGCTAACCCAGCTGCTGAGCTCTCACATTGTTGTCATCAAAGTGTAAAATGGATCTGACCATTTGTCCAAAGCGTCGTTGAGTTCCAAAAGCTAGCTTGGAAATGTTGCAACATTAGCTTATACCTGCCCCAGTAGCACCAATATTTTAAAATTCTATTGGTTTATGTACGTGTGGTTCTGGGAAAAAAAAAAAAAATCCCCAAAATTGAATGTCCATTCTGCCCTTGATACATGAAATGACATGTAAACGGGGTGTTAGATGATGATAGTGGTTTGAACTTTCCATTGTTTCATTCAAGGGTAAAATTTTTGCTCTGTTTTAACTACAAATGCACCAATCAGGCTTTTCCTGGCCGCTACTGATATCCTGTTCCCAGATCTGTTTATTTGCATTGCACTAGTTCACAACAAATTTCATATCAAGGAAATTTGAAAACAATAAGACCCAATTTATATCTAGAAATATAATCAGTTCAATATAATCCGATCAGATGAACAGATTGCAATTCAATTCAATTGCAATTCCAGTTCAATCCTATTTATAACACAATACACTCAAGTTTGTAATGGAAATTGCTAAGATATTCTTTAAGGACCCACAGTTCTCTTCTATGTGACACAAAAGCAATTATAAAAGTTATGTTACAGATACTGACTGCTGTCAGTATCCTTACTGTCGATGGGTTAAGTAAATAGGTCACGGGAAACCTGGCAGTTTGATTGGTGCTTTTTCCATCCACAAACCAATTGGTCTGTGGATGGAAGTGAGCTTTTGTTAGACTGACTTTGAGTAACTTTAAATCCAGCCCCAACTAATTTTGATCTATTCTCATATGTTGATGCTTTGGACAAAGGTGAAGATCGTCTGTAACGTCGTTTGTTTTTTTTTTTCTTATTGGTTGTGTTTGGTTCCCTGCCCCTCCCCCTATGCCAAATATAGAGTTTGTTGAGACATGCAAACAGCAAGATGTCTATGCAATCTCCCCTCCTAAATCTTTTTTCCCAAAAAAGAAAGACAAGCTCACTGTAACAACGAGCTGGTCTGACTAATTAAAATCAAATTTGGCCTGGCTTGAATTCCAGAGGCTCTTTGCATGACCCAAAGACCCTTGCTGCTTTTGTGTGGGCGCATATCCCGACTGCTCAGCGGAGCTGGCCTTCCCGCCCAGCCTTTGTGGCCGGTCCAAAGGCGCAGGAGCTCTTTCTAGCAGTCTGTATCCCACAGAAGTAGGCGGGGTTCATTGGAATGATGTGGAAAACAAGGATTCAACAAGATGTGCTGTTTTCTGTGAATTGCTCAGAGTGTGATGCGTGAGTCTGCGTGTGCGCGTGCATGCTTGGATTCTGCTCATGCTTCCTTAATGGGATTGGTGCATCAAAAAACTTAGATTTTAAAATTAGGGCCAGCAGCTAAATTTAATCCCGTTTGCTGCCTTTATATGCCATTACTTAGTCAATGTAATGCTAGTTCTTAGATTTGTGCTTTAGCTTATGTTTACTAAAACCTTAATGCTTTTGATCCTGAATCAGTTTCACTTACGTAGATATAAAGAATGTTCACGTTTTTGAGATGGAAGATTTAAAACCAACCTGATTTAGCTTTAAATTAGCACTTAACTTAAAGAGCACTTTGAATGGCCCAAACACGATAAAAAGGGAAAAGTCTTAGTGTTAATTCTCAAAATGTACATATTTATAAATAGGTTATGTATATTTAAAAGAAATTTAACCCCAAAAAGAAGGAAAAATAATATTAAAAGAATTATTTAAAGTTTACTATAATTTATAATGACGTGCAATAACTCATTGAGTTTCACATCTAATCAGAAAGTTCTTCACACATTTGTGGGGATTAATGCACCTTTCCATGAGAGCACCAGCAAGACCCAATCAGCATGCACGCACACACAAACACAAATGACTTTTTGTTTCTGGGTAAAGAAAGTTATTGAAGGATTCTCTCAGGTAAAAAAAAAAAAAAAGAACCTTTTCTAATAAATGATGGCGAACATTAGATCGGAAACCCTTGTTATTCGTCTTTTTGGCCTCCCAATGTGCAGTTGTGCATTGTCTGTTTTCTGTCCTGGATGGGTTTCATGAAGAAAAATAATTTTAACCAAGGTTACCAAACACTTAAGATTTCAAGTTTAGACCCAGTGAAAATGAATGACGCTCACCTGGTTTTGGTAGATGGTTTTCACCGCAAAGGAAAGCAAATTAGTATCGCATGAGGAGGTGCGAGGGTTTTCAATCCTTGTTGGGTTGGCGTTTGTGCTGCTATTGAAGCCCGCCTCTCTCATATCAGGTAAAAGGAATATCCAAAATATGTTAAAACAATCTGGCCTTTTTTCTTTATTACTGGCCTTCGTTATGTTTTCAAAATTTAAGGTGAAAAGAATAGAATTTTGCTGAAAATTATGATTGGTTTGAATAATGACATTTTTACTGTGGTGGAATATTGTTTTTTTTGTTTTTTGTTTTTATCTTTTCATGCACGACACTTTAAGTTGATTATGTTTAGGCTCTAAAAAGTGTCCATGTAGAAAAATAAAAGTTTTTAGATTATATTTATTTATAAATAAGGACATAAATAAATATATTTCTCTAAACATGTTAATTTTCAAATTAACCTTAACACTTCTTTTTAATCATTGTGTATTATAATTTTGATTTTTCCCTGTACGTTAAAGACGCAGCTGGAAAATTTATAGATTTATGATTTAAAAAAATAAAATGAATCAGTTATAGGTCTCTAAAAATATCCTTTTAATTTGACGAATGATTACATTCGCCATTTCTTTTGAATGATCCTTATGTTCTTAGGTTTTTGTGGTCACGGGGTTATATTTTCTGTTTTGTGATTCTAACATGACGCTTAACATTTCCAGGTAAGTACATGATGCACTATGCAGTATCTCACAGAGTGGATAGATTTTGACTTTTCTCAAAACCAGGCTATGCAAACTTACTGGGTTTTTATTTTTATTTTATTTTTTACACTTGCTCCCTTTTATAGTCAAAATTTCTGCAGCCATAAATAACACTCCCTCGTGTTAAGGCTGGACGTACAGAAGCACATGACTCCCATCTCAAACTCAGCATCAGTCTTCGTCAGTGTGGAGGCGAAGGAACCTGACCCAACCCCCGACACACACACACAGACCCCACACACCCCTATCCATCTGATGATGACATGATGCTCTCAACTGATGGGAATAAAGAAAGGCCTTGCATGTGTAAAACTGTGCATGTAAATGTCTTTGTGGGAGGATTGAGTTGTGTGTAAGAAGAATTGTCAGCGCTTTGTTGTCCAATGGCATGTCTTGGTTGACCTGCTTCACTTTTTCTTCAAACCCATCAAAAAGCACCTTTTAAGGCCTCAGTGAGTGTAGAACAGACATTTGTCCTGTCCCAGACCAGTATTTTTCCTTCAGATGTATTTATCACAGTGACAGGCAGACGTATATGAAGAAAAAGGAAAAGAAAAAAGGGTGGGAGAGAGGAGGGGCTTGGGAATCATTTCTCATCTTCGGCAAGATTGCAAGGTAGAGAAAAATGACTTTCAAGAAAATAACAGAAAATAGATACTTCAAAAGAGAAACTTCAGCAGCTTTAATCAACAAAAGTTGTGTTACTACAGAATAAGGGAAATAACTGGCACAGATGACGAGTTTGGATTTTTGTAATTCACTTCAAATATTCACATTATTGATTGCTTTAATCGCCCTCATCCCTCATCATTTTCCGACAATTTGTTTCATACTATGGCAGGTGATTTATTCTAAAATCTGCACTTTTCAGAAGGAAGATTCAGGTGCTACATTGAATCCACAAACCGGGCATAAAAATAAGTTGAGAGTATTAAAACTCAAAGTAAAATTGTTTTAGTCGTGCTGAGTACCACAAGAGTTTGCTGGCCAGTCAAACACAGGGATATTATGATCATTACAGCCTTAAACCTTTGGAAATGTAAGCAGGTACCAAATCTGGTAATCTGCGTTTCCTGACAATTTGTGACCAAAAGAAATCACTATGTGTTTGATATCATCTTTTTTTTATCTTTCGACTCAACTTTGGAAAGTTTAGCAATGAGTTTTTGTAGTTTCATGATTAGTATGCAATCAAATTTTTAAATAATTGTAATTTATTTTATTTTTACTTGCATGAACCCATATAAACATCAAGGTTTACAGAAATAATCCCTTGAAATCTATCACTGTGTGTGTGTGTAAATCTAAATGATCACTTTTTGGACTCAATTACTGAAATAGACTTGATGATCTAAATTATTGACATCGTATGTAGAGCCGCTAATATTAATATTGATGGCAATGACATGGATTAAAAGTCATAAAAATACTGGGGCAAATAGGGAAATGTTTTTGCTGCTTAGATCATCTGCATAAAGATTTATAGTCAAAGGGTTTTATGGAAAAGTGAGTTGAGAGTGTGCAGATTTTTGCTGAACTTTTAGTAGTGCTTTGAAGTTAGAAAGGTGAGGTGTCGAGCTTGGGAAAAATTTGTTTTAGGAAAGATGCACAATGTTTTTTCTTTTTCTTTTAACCTTCGGATAGTTAAATGGCCTCAAAGGGTGCTTATCATTCTTTCATTGTGGTTCAACCTGTTTCCTATTCCACCAAATGCCCACAATCACATTACACCATCCTCTTACTTACATGCACGAACCTATTGTGAAATCAAAAGCATTGCTTGGTTCTCGGCAACTTGCTGTAAAGGTATTCACGTCTCTTAAACTTCAGAGTGTTTCATGTACACACAAGTAAAATCCAGTGCAATCAAGGCTAAACACTTAAACCAACAGATCTGGGAGCAAAATCTTTGCTCACTGCTGCATGCACATAAAACTCTGCATGTCTATATCAGAAAGCTGGAGTGCACAAGTACAATATGTCTTTTATGCAGCAATTAGTGTGAGGTAATGCTTCTACTGAATTCCGGTGGTGCTATTTGTTTTGCCAACAACTGAGTTAATTGTCTTTATTGATTTATTTAAATATTATTACTATGCAATGGGTTTTCCTCATTCAAAATGAAGATGCTAATTTTAAGATGTGTTTTTACAAAGCTGAAAAGCGGCACCCTTTGGGTTACATTTCTCTCTGACTTTTTCTTTGTTTTTTTTTTTTTTGTTTTTTTTTTTACTAAAGGATCTTGTTCAGACTGATTACAGCAGTAACAAATTACAAATACTAATAGTTCTAATTACATTTTGCAAAAAAAAAAAAAACAAAAAACCAGAGCTTACATTTACTCGCCATGGCTGCACATTGACTGCTGTGGCTGCTGGAGACGCTATGATGAGTTCTGCAGACTCACGTGTATCTTGTTTTGCATATCTGGAAAGTGCGAAAAACAAGACGTTAGATGGATTACTTATTTGTACTGGTCCTTTACAGACCTAACAAACTCTGTTTTTATGCTTTTAAGATCCCAAAAAGCAAAAAAAAAAAAAAATATATTGGTGCAAAATAAAATAAAGTTAATGTAAATTTGTCCTACAATGGCATCTGAAATTTGTTTTGTTTTTTGTTTTTTTATTGTTGTTTTTTGTCTTTTAATTTGTCAGGTTGCAGCTTAAAAGAATAACCTTGTTGTCAATTTTTCATTTTTTGTTGTTTAATCAGCCATCCTGAAAATTAAGATGCATAAATTTTAATGTACCTTTCTGAGCCTTTATGCAGCACCAAACCTTGCCTCTGTGCCTCCTAGCTTCCTAGCCATTTATGATGTGAAGATGCAGTAATTTAATGATGTTTTTACCAGAGAGCTTCGTGTCTCTGGAAATAACATTCAACCTTGTGTTGCTCTGTCTTGTGGCAGCCAGCTCGGCCACCCCTTGTCAGTGTGAATCTTTGCCAGATCTTAAGCAAACTGCCAAGTTCCTGTCTCTGTTGCAGTTTGTCAACCTGTCGTAAAGGAGGAATCTGATGACTTGCATCCTGTGGAATAACATTTTTCCTTTAGATATATGTTGCATTAAATGAAGGACTAAATTATCAAGACAGCCATTGAAGTTAACCTGAAAGTTTTGGAGTGTAGCAAAAAAAAGGGGGGAAAAAAGCCCATGTAAAGAATCTCTGAAGTTAATGCAGGTAAAAGAGTGTTTCAGTAAGAGGACAAACTATATACCCTGTGTTCCCATTCGACAACTGGTGCTAGAGCTGGAGCTTACCTTCCTTTACTGTGAACAATTAATAAAACATTTAAGACATGATTTGGTTTTCCAAATCCAGATAACCAGCATGGTGCCACATCATCATATTATTTAAAGATTCGCTGTATGTAAATGTCTGATCCTCCATCTGTTGTATTCTGAATTTCTTGGAGGACAATACTGCAGGAAGGCAGTTTATCTACTAAGGTCAAGTGATTTTTTTATTTATTTTTTAAGAACTTTGAGCCTCACTGTTCAGACACAATGTTTGGAGCAGGATTTACTGCAGCAATGAAATTCTATCAAAACGCCAGCAACGTTTTTATTAACAGATGTGGAGACAATCTTTTCGGTGGTCATCAGTGCAGTTCTATGCAGCACAAAAAACTGGAAAATAACACGAGGAATTTGTTTCACCCTTTTTTCAGAATGAAAAATTCGATTAGTTGTTGGTCTCCCATTTCTTTTTAGTTGTCTTTCAGATAGCACCAGTTTTTCAGTTTGACCGTCTGTCCTTGTGAAAACAGACCATTTAGGAATCCAATTACCGTACACCAAATGAAAACTCTTTATAATGCCAGTGGCATCGCTCAGCTGTTTTAAACGGTGCTAAGCAATCAGTGGCACCCATTTTTCCCAGCAAAACAAAATAAATAAAATACTAATAACTAATAAAAACATAAGTGAGAACTAAAAGCTTCTTGAATGTTTGACAGTTATTTTGCTTCTGATCGTTGCTATAGTTTGATTTAAAATATTTGTTGTACATTTGTTTACTCTTAATCCCACTTTACAACTTTACCCCATTAGGTTGAGCTGAAAGGACATGACCAGTTTGT